ACAGCCCTGCATCCAATGACTGCAGAACATGCTTTCAAGTACTCAAAGCACATTACAAAGGCTGAGCACGTGTTTTGCTATAAAACATCCTTCAAAACATTCCAAGGGGTTGATATCCCAGGACCACTTTCTCTGACAGTAAAACAATGTTACTAGAAAGTTCTACCACAATAGTAACAATGACAAAAACCACACAGTTATGCTGCCATGGCATAACTCTTGGAATAAACAAGAGATGATGGAGATTAGAAAAATACACCATAAGTAGATGAAAGTGAAACACTTTATAAAATGTAGGGAGACTGGTACAGCGTTGTGGGTCTGTCACCCCCATGACTAAGAAGGCTAATGCAGGACAGTCTTGAGTTTGAGGCCACACTGAGCTGCATAGTGAGATCGTGTCTCAACAAAAATGGGGTATGCCTTTTCAGTGATATTTACAGAAAAAATTATAGTGTATATGCCAAGGATAACTATCATAGCTTACATGCCTTAAAAATCTAGAAAATCTGGAGATGAACAATTATCTAGCTTAAGAAGTTAAACAGAGAAAAATACATTAAGGCCAAGTGATTAGAAGGAAAGAGATAAACAGATGTGAATAAGCAAGATAAAGTCGATAGGCGGGAAGATCAACAAACCAAAAGCTTGGTGAAAATATCAATAAAATTGGGGAATGTATGGCAGGCTTGGTCACTGTGGGAAGCAGCAAAGGCACAGATAAACAACACTCGGATGAGAGAGAGAGAGAGCAGGGGCAAAATGCAGATGCTATGGACATGAAGTAAACACCAATAAAATTGAAAACCAAGATGAAAGGTACAAATTCCTTAGCTCTCCTGCTTATCAAAACTGACACAAGAAGAAATAAAGAGCTCTAGTAGTTCATAAGCCTCAAATCCCTGTAATCAGTAGTTTAAAATGTTCTCACAAAGGAAACAGCAATCTGGATGGTGTTGCCTTGAAGTTCTAACAAATATTGAAGAGAAAAACAAAATAAAATATCAAGACTCACATAAAGTATTCCCGGATATAGAATTGGTGGGAACACCTCACCACTTAATCTGTGAAGAGCCACAATTCAACAAAGATGGCAGAATAGGACCAAGTGGGTTTTGGCAGCATTTAAGACTTTATATGGGATGTAAGAGATGAGGTAGGGAAGTCTGCAGTAGTATCTATACAACTAATCCCCCAGCTAGAAAACATGCAAGACCTGGGCTTAGAAGATTGCCCACTGGAGAGCAAGGATGGAACAGGATACCTAAGGAATGACCTGGGATGACAAGGTCTCAGGGGCCAGCTTGTAGGTCTCATGGATAGAAGAGGGTCCATGGAATGAAGGCAGTTGGTGGGGGCTGGATGGTGTCCTCATACAGGAATTAAGTATGTATGGCCTGGGTTCTAGGACAGAACTAGTGAGAAGGAGTGCTGGGGCCTCAACCCCCCCCACCCCCACCCCCAGATGCCCCGTGAGCAGGGTCTGGAAACCAGAGCTCCCTTGTGTCCGGTTTTGAGCCACAAACATTTCCTGCAGAAAACAAGAAAGTCAGTCTCTTGGCCCCACTGTGCTCTGCATATCAGCGCGACAGTGTGAGCTTAGCTTGTAAAATAAACACTGTGGCAGGGCCAGGTCCAGGAAGAGATAAGAAAACCCAAGGGAAGAGGGCATGTCCAGGTCCAAGAAGAGCTAAGAACACCATGGGGAAGAGGTGGGTGTGGGTTCTACAGAGAGCCAGGGGACCCTAAGGAAGCCAGTGGGGGGCCCAGGCAGGGCCAGGCCAAAGAGACAGAAGGCAGGAGCCAGAACTCGGGGGTTCTTGTTATAGGGATAACAAGATGGCCTGTACTATCTTGAATTGCCACCCGTCCTGAATACTGTAGCCCCTGGACAAGGCCACTGGCCCCTACCCAGCCTTGGCTCTCAGAGCTGATTCCAGCCTCATTTCCAAAGGACCTTCTCACTTCTGAAATGTTCCTCCCTTACCCACATCTGTGATCGCCATGAGGACCAGCTCTTTGTGTAACTAGCTGTGTGACCACAGGAGACTGCTTGATTTTTAGAACAAAGGAATCAGTAATAGACGGTGGCTGCATGAAGGGAGCCCATGGGCATGGCTCCCTGGTACAGGTCCCTGGCCTGGAGCTAAGGAAACTCCTGGTCAGGAAAACTGAAGCACCCCTGAACAAATTCAGCTAGCTTCTCCTAGGTATCCCTTACAAGTAGATACTCCAAATCTCCTTGGGTCCTTAGTCTAATCCCCTTCTGAGAGTGTAGTCTAGCTGTTTGTGAGGGGGATTCAGCCTTGTTGTGTGGGTGGCCTATGGTGGGACACACTTCACAGCTGAGGAGCTAAGCTGAGCTAGGCAAGCTGCTGGGCACAGGAGACTTGACTTTGGCCAGCCTGCAGCTGGTCTGAAGGGGTGGGAGGGAGGGGCTGTCAGCAGGGAAGCCCAGGGGCTCTGGCTGGGCTCAGCCAGGCTGGCTGGCACTGGCTCGACTCTGGGACTGCTGGGCTCCCAGGGATTTCCTGTCCCCTACTTCCCAAGGTCAGCAGGATTGCGCTTGGGTTGTTTCTGGTCCCGATGGTTACGTTGATAACTGCGATAATGTGGGGCCCCGGCCATGCCATCGTGCCCTCTGGGCCCAGCAAAGCTCTTTCCCAGGGTCTGTCCCCACAGGGGGCAGTGGTCCTGGACAGAGGAGGGACTGGGCAGGCTGCCATGGGCCATTTGGGTCAGTGCATCTTTGACAGCCTCTTGATGTACAATGGGGGTCTAGGCTAGAGCCCTGGGAGGTGCCTTGGTTCAGTGTAGACCATGGCCTTGGATGGAGGACTCATTCCTCCATCTTAACCATCTAAAGGCAGGGAGTGAAGATGAAGAATGATGCCCATGAGGCATTTTTGCAGGATCCCAGCATCCTTGCAAACCTGGCTCAGATCCCAGACAGGGCCAAGGTCACCAGGAGCTCTGAGGACTGGCCTAGCTTTGTTCCTAAACCTTGCTCCCAGAGACCATGGACTCTGGAAAACCAGCCCTTTGTTGTTCTGATCTGATGAAACACTGGCATGTACTTCTGCCCCGCCCCTACCCCTGAGCCAGTACAGCCTCCACCTTGGTCATAGAGTTGTAACCTGGTTATTAAACCCCAAAATGCTGATGGGCAGCCATATCTGGAGTCTGGAAAGGGAGACACTGGTAGGGGACAACACCTATCACCTTCTGTCATTTATAGGAAACACCAGGTTTCTGGTCTGGGTTTGAGGGGTAGCCTGTTCTATGGGTAATGGGGAGAAAGGGAAAGTTGAACAGTTAGAATGAGATAGAACTTGATTGGATCAGGAATTTGTGGTGGTGGGGCTATTGGGACTGAGACAGCAGGCTGCTTTTAAATTTCTGGGGAGAGATTTGTTCTGTGCTCTCTGGAGGTGGGGAAAGACCTCCTTGATTCCTGCCAGCAGTAGGAGTGATCAGCAAAGGTGGCCTTGACCAGGAAAGACTGGGGGCTGTTTGTGGAGGTTGAGTAGGAGACCCAAACCAGGGGGACTATCACTGGTTCAATAGGCCCATGCACAAAGAAGAGAGAAACTAAGGGTATCCTTGAACATGTAGACAAATAATGAGGCTCCCAAGCCACCCCTGAGCCGAGGCCTTGTGAATCAAACACTCCAAGTATCTTTCCCATCCTGCCAGATATGCAAAATCTTTGTTCTAGCTGGGTGGTCTGCTGGTCAAGGGCTCTGCTCAGGTCCAGGATTCTACAGGTTAGGCCAGGCCCTGTAGTGAGACTCGGTGTTGGACATGCACATTCCTGGGGGCCTAGAGAATATCTAGAGCTCAGATCATACCTCTTCCTGATTCCATTTACTGGCCTCAGAGCTCCTGACTGCCCCAGGCTGGGGACACTTATGCTAGTGAGGAGTAGAGAGGCTTCAGAGCCTAGTGCCTAGGACGTGTTTAGGGAAGGAAAGCTGGTTTGTCCTATGTGGGCCAGACTATCCTTGCCTACCTGCCCAGTTGTAGTCCATATTGGAAGAGAGCCAGAGCCAGGCGTTGCTAGGGCAACCCAGCAGCAACCACACTCCCCACTCAACTGAAATTCCACTATTTTTAGCCTCCTAGTTATGTTAAGATAAAATCCGTGTATACAGACGAGTTGTCTGGCAAGATAACGGCACACCTCAAACAGCAGACTTCAAAGAGTAGCAGTGGGTTGTACCATGGGCCCAAGAAAGCTCCCTGGGTGAGTCAGAGCCTCCAGTGGCTGGTGAAAGTTAGGGTGTTGGACACAGAACATGGAGGGCAATGGAGTAGCCTAATGGCTTAGCTAATGTTAGCTGTGGCACTCTGAAACATGAGATTGTGAACAGCCAGTGTACGAGGAACTACCATTGGGCACTCACTCTACTCTAGGTGGAAGCCTATAGTAGTGGATGCTAAAATTAGCCTGGCTAGGCAGATCCAGAATAGCCTACCATAGTATCTTGAACTGGACTTTCCCTACCAGTCAGGTCCAGAGTAAGTAGAGGCTGACACCATCGAGAAATCCACCCTAGCCAGGTTCTGAGTCTTCTGAAGGTTTGGCCTATCCAGATCAAGGACCCTAGATGGCTGACCTATGACCTAATTTGAGTCTGGCTGCAGCCACCTCCTGGTTAGGATGCAGCCAGGAGGCTCTTAGAGCAGAAAGGGTAAGGGGTGGAGGAAAAGAGCTGGGTCATGTTCAAAGCTTCAGTGTGTCTGACTTTGAGAGCCCACTCCTTCCTTCCCAGGGGTAGGGCTACAGGCCTATACGACGCAGAAGCAGCCAGCAGGTAGGCAGGCACACAGTTGTGAAATGTATTGCCCACCCACCATGCATGGCGCTTCTCAAGAACTCCATGGAGGAGATCAGCAGAGTGTGGAACTGAGTGGAGCAGTGAAATACTGCCCTTGGGGTATTGGACTGGCTGAGGAGGGTGACTATCAGAGCAGACAGAGTTGATATAGGAGCCTACCTTGTCTTCCACCCGGTTCAGACGGGCACCAATGGTGTTACTGCCACGGTCCTTGCTCTTCTCTATGGGGGAAAGCAGAAAGTCAGGGGTATGGGCTGTGGGTGTGGGTTTAGGAACCTGGATGGACCTTAAGGAGCAGGAGATGAGGGAAATGGGTAAAGACATCCTTTAAAATTCCCTTGTGATTAGAACAGCAAGGGCAGGGCAGGGCAGGGCAGGGTGAGGCATTGTAGTGGCAGAGTGAATTTGGGCTCCATCCTTGTTCCTCCTGGCTTTGGAACCCCTTAGAGTCTTCCAGGAGGGACAGAACACTCTCTGTCCAGGGGTGACTCAACTGGGTTGTGATACCTGCTGAACCCATCACCAGGCCAGGGTATCTGCTGTCTCAGTGGTCCCCAACATTGGATTATGCCCATAGTCCTATTTGAACTTTAGCTAGCATTGTCACCAGAACAATGTAGCTTGCTTTGTCTTACCTGGTGTGGCTTAGCACCTTGTCCCGAGGACCTAAAGGTTCCCATCAAGCCAAGAACTAGCACACATAATGCCATCTCTGCATACCTAAGCCAGGAAGGACTCCCATAATAGCCCCTGAAACTCTGGGCTGGCTGCTTATCTGGATCATGTTCCACACCAGGCCCTTCCACCACAGGAAAATGTGCCCTTGGTTCACACTACCATACCAAGATGCTTTAGAAATCTGTCATTTAAAGGAACACACAGCTTGTTCTGTCATCACCAAAACATTCCATTATACAGACACTTTGCCCAGCATGGGTCTACCTGTTCCTTCTGGCTTCTATACAGAAGGCCTCAGTGGCCTGTTGTGATGAAGAAGAGAGGCATATGGGGTGAAACACACACACACACACACACACACACACACACACACACACAC